TATTTATTTCGTTTTATTTTTCCCGCCAAATAAAATTTCGTACCCGGACGAAAACCGGTTACGACACCGCTACGCTCGTGTTTTTCCGACTCGTGTGTACTCCCAGTAAGATCATATTAACATGCAAATAATTGAGAAACTTTTTAATTATCACCAATGTGGCAGTTAATTCAACAATGCAAGAACACTAACTAAATATTCCAGATATTGTCTTTAAAACATTGAAAGTTACGGCACAAAAAATCTACAACACAAATATGTACCATATAGGTTGCTTATATATTAAAGAAAGTTTCCTGAGATAAACAACTCTTTAAGATTTCCATAGTTTTTGCTTAGGAGAACCCTTTACCGAATCAAGATATCCATAAAGTAGAATCCAGAAATTCAATATCAACTTTATAACTTAGCACCTATGGCTACAATGAAATACCTGACTGTATATAAAGATTCTAGAGTAAAACATTTCAGTGGAAAATATACAAACAAAAAGACCTATTTGATGCCCACAGGTCCTTGGGTTGTTCACATATCTTGAACCTAAGATCCTGCTGCAAAACACTATAATACTACAACTTTATGAACGGGTGTCGGGGTTATAATTCCTTGAAGCAAAACTACACTGTCAACAATAGGTAAGAGGAAAAGATATATTTATGAACTTTCTGGAAGTACTAAAACAACTCAGAAGCATGATTCACATATGCCAGCTATGTCCATCCAGAGATAGGTTCAAGGAAGGGCTCCAGCCCGCAACAAGCGTATATAAAGAAAATATTGATTAAAGGTCGCCCGGACAACCCTACTGTTCCTTTCTTACCTGGAGGCTTAAAACCTTACTGGCAGTGGCAGTTTCTAGTTTTAGAATTGTTTGATATTGATTGACAAAGAATCCAATGTCGTTATTACATATTAGGCTAAGCCTTTCTCCATTTCTGTAATTCACCACCAGAATTCCAATTAACGGGATATCAGATAAATTCTGGCCAAATTCACCGAACAACTTATCAGCAAGATGGCACTACTTTTGTTGATTTGTTTCCGCAAGACCTTCTGACTTACTTCTCAACAGTAAAATCCTTGTTAGATCTGAAAACTAATTAGTAATTAATTTATCAACAGTTAGCCGGATCACTCAGCTTTGGATTTAAAGCTTATAACAAATTCAGATTCTTTGTCTCTAAGGACATAATGTCTGTCGTGTCCTAACAATTATAGGATACTCGTAAGATTTACAACTAACTAAAAAAATTTATGGATTCTTTAGTGAACTCCCAGTTAGCTTCAAACTGTAAAATTTATATTTATATAGGCCGTCTCCTTAAATTTCCTCTTCTTACCTTTGGAGCGTAGTCCAGCAGTGTAGCCAGCAGATGAAAAGCATCCATTTAAAAACCAGATGGAGATGATAAAGGTACTACATGAGAAACATTTTAAACATCGCAAAATTTAACATCTAAGAACACATCAGAATACTAAAAAGTAGTGTCAGTCAAGTTATTCAGAAAAAAAAAAAAAGAAACCAGCTCAACTGAAACCTCATGGATATAAGTTCTGAATTAGGAAAATTCATAAGATTTATGAAATAGATTATGAAGGGTATGGAGCGTTACCAGAACACAAACATCGGTGTGATTTCCAGCAAAGAAACGCTCAGGTAAACAATTATATACAAGTTCCCTGAGATGCCAATGTGAGAGGGATGGTAACTCCTCCCGAAGTTTGTGCAAAACGGGGATATTTGTTAAGGAAGGCAAGCATGTCATTAATTCTGAATGCAATTTGTGTAAATCAGTCTTTCTCAATACATCAGGAATATGCTGCAGAGAGTGAAGATCAACAACCTTTGGAACCTTCATTGCAGTATACTAAACTCATTAAATCATCAATACCTACTTATAAAAAAATTATCAATACCTAGTAGTTAATGGTACTATTTAATCAAAGTTAAAAATATTTTCTAACATTACATCTTTAATTAATGAAAAGAATAGGACAACAAACTAGTTTTTACATTTTACCAAAATTTTCATCATACATGTATTGATCCAAAATAATAAGCCACACATAATTCCTTGAGGTTTCCAGCATTATGTATGTAAGATTATATGAACCCAAATAATTAAAATATTTTAAATAAATATGTATTATCTCATATTTATTTTATAATAATAATAATAATAATAATAATAATAATAATAATAATAATAATAATAATAATAATAATAATAATAATAATAATAATAATAATAAGCCATAGATGTATATGCCTCCGAAAGAAAGGTAGTTGTAGTGAAAAATCGACATTTCCAAATTTAGGGTTAACTACTTCAAACACTACTTACCTTTAGGCTTGGATTCGTTTATGCCACTGAAGTTTTAATTTTGTCAATTTTAACACCGATGTTTATGTTCAACTGCAATCATGCCACTTCGCCGTTAATCCATTAACGGGACGATGACATGACATCTCCTTTCTGTGACGGTGATGACGTGGCTCCCTCACCAACACGACGTCGTTTTGGCACGACCGTTTTCATGCTCAAGAAGCCCAAAACTACATCGTTTTGTTGATGGAAAAAATACTTTTTATGGGATTCGAACCATAGACATTTAAAAACCAAAATTAAACACCCAACCATCAAACTAAATTAAGAACTTGCAATAATTTTAACAAAACTATTATAAATCTTAAATAATGTTTGAATTTTCAGTTTTTATGATCACATACCAGTAGTCTTCATCTCCTTCCTTTCTTCCTCAACAAAACCCTAAAATTATCTATCGGATGCTACAAGACATCAAGCTATTTTTTCACCCTGTTGTATTCAACCCAAACCTGCAAAAAGAACTTTCCTCCAGTAGGATGTTGCGAAAAGGAATGCGGAGCCTTTGCTCAAGCCCTGAAACACCATCGTTATGGAGGCCGGTGACACGATAATCATTAGCCTTGCTATGCAGGAATAATCGTCGTTCATTAATTGACGGTCGAGCAAACCATCAACGCCACTGCCACCATCTTCGCGAAATGGGATGTTGAAAGGTCTTCGTACGCTAGAAGGTCATGTAGTGCAGGAGGATGTCTGGTAGTTGAAAAGCTGCCTTGTAGGAGAGATGGCTGCAATATGCAGTGTAAAGGAAATAAACTTAGGGTGTGTTTAGTTGGGAGAATGTGAAATTTTCATGGGAATGGAATCTATATTCTTCCGTTTGATTGTCCGGAAATATCATTTCCGGTAATCTTACATTACCAATAGTGAATTTTTTGGGTATATTAATGGGAATGTTATTACCTCCCTTTCCTAAGGTATTGTTGGATTACCGACGTTTTGGACTAAAATGACCTTAAATTTTTTCTTTCTTTCAAAAATAGTCTTATTCTGTCATTGAATAATAAAAATTCTACGAAGGTTAAACTACAAATTTATTCTTAAACTATTTTAGATTTACAAAAAAGAGTCTATAATTAAAATTTTATATGAAGTTCAGGGGTTAAAATAAAATTTTACCCTTTCATTAAACTTTTTTATATTTTCAAATTTATAAAAAAAATTATATAAATTTTATAAATTTAAATTTTTTAAAGAAAATATATAAATATTTTCTAACTTTTAAAAAAATATATATATAATAAGGATAATTTGGTCAAATATACATTCAAATAATCTTTTATTCATTTAACCAAACACGGTAATCTTATATTCTTACTAAATCAACCAAATACAAAATACAACATTCTCAGTAATCCTATTATCTAGTAATCTTTTATTCTCACTGTTAATATTACATTCCGTGAACCAAACGCACCCTTAAGTCTCAAGAAATGGGGTGTGGGAGGCATCAAAGACAGAGAATGGGCGGTATGAAATATTTGCTCAGCTTTGAAGATGAATTGTTTATGTTCCTTGAAGATTTCGAATAGGCTTACTTGAATGAAGTATTCATAAGAATAGGACCATGGTCGGAATCGTTAAGCAGGCCAGAGCGAGCAACCTGGATTGAGGTCTCAGGAGTCCCTTTGCATTGTTTGAACCACACCACCTTGAAAAGAGTGGCAGAACCATGGAAAACATTTGAATCCTTGAGAGAGAATGCAGATCGCTTGGGAGACTTTGAGAAGTTTTCGCTATTATTATTAACAAATCATGAGTCAAAAATTGACGAGAAAGTAGAAATTGTGATTGGAAATATGGTCGATTCTGTTCACTGGAGATTTCAATGAGGTCGGTTTTCACGGGAGAAAGAATCTTCTTGCGACTTCGTATTTTCCTCGTCGGATTCCATTAGATGATCTTGCTTTTCAGAGATTACAAAGGAAGGAGATGAAGATTATTAGTGTGTTCAAACTATTTATTTAAGATTTATAAAAGTTTTGTTAAAGTTATTACAAATTCTTAAGTTAGTTTGATGATTAGGTGCTTAGCTTTAGTTTTTAATGGTTCGAATCTCATAAAAAAGATTTTTTCCATTAACAAAACGAAGTTGTTTTGAGCTTCTTGAGTATGAAAACGGTCATGTCAAAACGACATCGTTTTGGTGAGAGTCACGTTATCACCGTCACGGAATGAAGATGTCATATCATCGTCCCGTTAATAGATTAATGACAAAGTGACATAATTGCAGTACTTAAACATAAACGTCAGAGTTAAAAATGACAAAATTAAAACATCACTATCATAAACGAATTTGAATCTAAAAATGAGTGATATTTAAAGTAGTTAACTCTTTATTTAATATTTATTATTCTTCTGGACAAAATAATAAAAGTATTTTCTGTTTAATTTTTTCCCCTTCAGTTCCTTGTATTGTAGTGGTAATTTCTCGACAAAAAGAAAAAAAAAAATTCCGATGCTCCGCGCGTTTCTCCGATCAGGTACTCCAATTTTCCTCCTCAATTTCCTCCCCAGAAGTTCACTTATTATTCGAAATTCAGTATTTAATGCAATTTTTTTTAACTTTTGTCTCGAAATTTCTATATAAATTGATGTGGTTGTCGATAGGTAAAGCACAAGTACACGATTGCACCTCGTTCGACTATTTCTGAAGCAAGGAAATCTCCTCTGCTTCTTTTGGAAGGAAGGCAGAAAGATTCTGCAAAAGCAAAGAAGAAAGGCATCAGCATTCTTACTAAAACCCAAGTTGATGCAGAATTTTTGAAAACGAGGAGCTTGACTGCTGAAGAAGCTGCTGCAGCTGCAGCACAAGCAGTTGCGGAGGCAGAAGTTGCAATCGTAGAAGCTGAGAAGGCAGCAAGAGAGGCAGAACTGGCAGAAGCTGAAGCAGAAGCAGCAAAAGTTTTTGCTAAAGCAGCCGAGAAAGCATTGAAGTCCAGGATGCTAGATACCTGGTATTATGTTCATAGATTTGAAAACACAGGTTTTCTAAGTGGATGCTCAAGTTGGTTGTTTAAGAGGGATAGTCGATAAACCTTCATTGCAACAACTTCACATCCATTAAACAAATTTTATTTTTCTTATTTCTTTGGGCCTACTTCAACCTTTCTTCTATATGGTTTAAGAGTTTCAGAAACAAAGATGTAGGAAGGATAACTATTTGTTTTCTATAGTATCATTGGGCTTCTTTCATAAAAAAATCTCATTGAAAGCTGACAGTTACTTTCAATTCCTTTCATCAGTTTTCTCCTCTTCTTGGATTCTTTTCTTCTTCCCATTGATTTTGACAATAGTATATCCCATAAACAGTGACATGGTGCCGCAAGACATGTTGACATCCTTCGTTTTCATGTTTTTGGAAAATACTATATTTTTCATGTACATCCAAGAGAATAGTGAGAGTGATCAGACTTTACATCCATTTTTTTAATGTAAAACTTTAATGAATATCCGGTTTTCTCTTGTGAACTCAAATTTTAGAGCTCTATATGTTGATATCTTAATGTTTACCAGAATTTAACCCTAACGTGGTTCCTTTTGTTGTTTGTCTTCTTGATTTCAGTTACGAACTTGTGCAGATGGCATGAGTGGATATTCACCATTTGGTCTTTAGTTCATTGTTGGAACAATGCACCAGACTCAACATCATGCTGGCCTGGTATATGAACCACGATCTTGTCGATAACTGTAAATATATTAGGCTTGTAAAGAAGAGAATGGGGGATTAATCCATTAAGTGCTTCTTTTTTATGAACATTCGGTAAAGGAGCTTAGAGGTTTTAGGGATTCTATAACTTTATCATCAAGTAAAAGGGTACAGATATAGCAAAAAGAAAAAGAGAGACATTTATGATGGCACGCTTTGAGATATGATCTGTCTCTTCTGTAAGTCAACTCGAATACGATTGAACTGCCGTTCTGTAAGCAATTTGAGTATTTTTATTTGCTAATGGCCACTAAAAAAAAAGAACACTCTCATTTAACTTTGCACAACATCATTTAGCACTGTGAAGTTTGTAGGTAAAGAAGAGTTAAGTTGCAACATGCAAATGACACTGCCTTACAATAAACCGTGTTATTCCCTTGATTGGTGTTGACGGCGTTACACAGAGTTAAAAAGCAAAACATTGGCTTAAAGCAGCAACATCATTTATTTCAGCCATGGTAATAAATGTCAGAAACTTGAATGAAGCCATATCCCATTATACATCATTAGCACGGTAGCTAGATACTCTTAAAACAGTACTACCTCAAATCAATCAACAAGAGCCATGAGCCAGATAGCAGATACTATTAATTTCATGCTACAACAATCAAGTTGAACTAATGATTAGATCATTGTCACTAAGTTAAACAAAAGTGATAATTTTAACTGACAAAAGTCCATCTAAAAAAGTTGTAACACAGAATGTGCATCTAAAGATAAACATTAAGTGTTTGTTTAAATTTCCATGTGACTGAAAATTGAGTTTGATGATTAGTGTGCTTGCTGCTCATTTGATGATGATATGCATGTTGCATTAAGCATGTGCAAGTATTTAAATTATGGCTTAAAATGAGACTAGTCACACTAGTGTAAATATTTATATTATAGAATCAATTTTGATATTTGAAAATGGTTATAAATTAACATGGAAAAATACAGCGAACAAATGTTTAATTGTGCATGTAATGATATGAATTGAGCCTTTAAAATTCAACTAAGTTGTTAGTACACATCAAAGCATGTGATGCAAATTATGAAATAATGTGTTATGACAAAATGTATAAATACAAGTAATGTGAATTTGAGTATGCTCCTTCTGTTGAAAATTCAATATTAGCCTAAATAAGTTCACACCTAAATTAATTTGATGTCATTGCTTACATCAATTTAGTTTTGATGTCATTGCTTACATCAATTTAGTTAGGTGAAAATTAAATATTTTTCTCATGTTTTAATTTCAATGGTTTAGATTTTTTAGTGCTTATTTTAATGAGTGGTTTAGATTGTTTCTTGTAACCTATAAATACCCTACTTGTATTTGAGTTTTATCATCCAACAATCAAAGCTTAATTATAAGCATTTGAAAGCTTTCTTAAGAGTTCTTCCCTTTTGCAATTTTGTGAGATTATTCTAAAGAGTTTTTTCTTCTTCTCGATCAATTAGAGTTTTTACTCTATTTTGATTCAACAATTGGTATCAGAGCCACGTTTTTAAGGTCTCTTGAAATTCTGAGTATGCTCTGTGGTTACAGTTTTTAATTGATCTTCCACATCAGAAAATATTTCTTGAGTTATTGTCGGGGTTATTACAAACCTTGTGGAGCTTCTTTGTGTTTAGAGTAATTTAGTACTCTGCACGTTTGTTACTCAAGCTTGTTCGGTGTAGTCAAAGCCTTGCCGTAAAGATGGGTGATCTTCAAGTAGTTGGAGGAAGCAAGAAGCTCAACAACAAAAACTACAACACGTGGGCAACATGTATGGAGTCATACTTACAAGGTCAAGACCTTTGGGAGGTTGTCGGTGGTGGTGAAGTTACACAACCGACGACAGAAGATGCCAATGGAATCTTACGAAAGTGGAAAATTAAAGCAGGCAAAGCAATGTTTGCTTTAAAGACCACAATTGAAGAAGAAATGTTGGAGCATATTCGGGATGCTAAAACATCAAAGGAAGCATGAGACACTTTTGTTACACTCTTTTCGAAGAGGAACGATACAAAATTGCAACTTCTCGAGAATGAACTTCTATCAATGGCGCAACGCGACATGGCGGTTGCCCAATACTTTCACAAGGTGAAGTCGATATGTCGCGAAATTTTAGAATTAGATCCGACAGTTGCTATTGGGGAAGCCAGGATAAAAAGAATAATTGTCCATGGTTTGAGACCCGAATATCGAAGGTTTGTTGCCACTGTACAGGGATGGCCGACACAACCATCGCTTGTTGAGTTCGAAAATTTGCTTGTAAGTCAAAAAGCCATGGCCAAGCAAATGGGAGGAGTCTCGCTGAAGGGTGAAGAAGAAGCGCTCTACACCAGCAAAAGCAGAGACACTTTTCAGCGGTATACTGGCAGTGGATCTAAAAAGAATGGTGACAAGGTGAAAAATTACCAAGGAAAGGGAGGCCCTCATTCAGGGGGAGCATCCAAGAATCGCGGTAATAGTAGAAAGTTCGATGGCAAGTGTTATAACTGCGGGAAAATGAGTCACATGGCAAAAGACTGTTGGACCAAGAAAAAGCATGTTGAAAGTAATACTGCTACTTCTTGTTCGAAGGAGAATGATGAAGATGGTTGGGATGCTGAAGCGTTATTTGCTACGGAGGAAGAAGAATTAGCTCTCACGGTAACAACACCAGAACATATTGACTACAAGAATGATTGGATCATAGATTCTGGCTGCTCAAATCATATGACGGGTGAAAAACAGAAGTTGCAAAACCTGTCTGAGTACAATGGAGGTCGTGTGGTGGTGACAGCTGATAACTCAAGGTTACCGATAACTCACATCGGAAAGACAATAGTTACGCCTCGATATAATACTAACCAGGTGCAACTCCAAGATGTTTACCATATCCCAGGAATGAAGAAAAATTTGCTATCTGTGGCTCAACTAACATCATCAGGCCATTATGTCTTATTTGGTCCCCAAGATGTGAAGGTTTATCGTGACGTCAAAATATCAGAAACACCAAAAATGGAGGGACGACGTTTGGAATCAATTTACGTGATGTCAGCAGAGTCTGCATATGTAGACATGACAAGGAAAAATGAGACATCAGATCTATGGCACATGCGGTTAGGTCACGTTAGCTATTCCAAGCTAAGTGTGATGGTGAAAAAGTCGATGCTTAAGGGGTTTCCTCAACTAGACGTGAGAACAGACACGGTCTGTGCGGGATGCCAGTATGGTAAAGCACACCAATTACCATATGACAAGTTGAAGTTTAAAGCAAAAGAACCGTTGGAGTTGGTTCACTCTGATGTGTTCGGACCGGTTAAGCAACAATCAATTAACGATATGCGATACATGGTAACATTCATTGATGACTTCTCCAGGTATGTGTGGGTTTTCTTTATGAAAGAAAAATCTGATACTTTCTCAAAGTTTAAAGAGTTTAGAGACTCAGCTGAAGGAGAAGTGGGAAAGAAGATATGTTGCTTGCGCACAGACAACGGAGGAGCATATAGATCAAATGAGTTCTCTCAATACCTAAGGGAATGCCGAATATGTCATCAGTACACTTGTGCCAACACGCCACAACAGAATGGTGTAGCAGAAAGAAAAAACCGGCATCTTGCAGAAATTTGTCGAAGTATGCTACATGCAAAGAATGCACCTGGAAGGATTTGGGCCGAAGCAATGAGGACTGTAGCCTTTGTGATCAACAGACTTCCTCAACCAAGGTTAGGATTTGTTTCACCCTTTGAGAAACTATGGAACATAAAACCTACAGTTAGCTACTTTCGAGTATTTGGCTGTGTATGTTATGTGTTTGTTCCTGATCATTTACGGAGCAAATTTGACAAGAAAGCTATTAGATGTATCTTTGTGGGATATGACAGCCAGAGAAAGGGGTGGAAATGTTGTGATCCAATTAGTGGAAGATGCTACACGTCACGA